AGCAAAGGAGCTATTAGTATTTGGCATGTATTTCTTACTGAATTTTGTGATCCAGAGTATGAAAGATTATTTTTCACAGTATTCAAATACTCGACATTAGAAAATCCTAGGAGATACTCTAGCCAAACAATATTGATATGATCAACATTCTAAAATAGAGGTGAATAAACCTGCGAAGATTCAGTAATTCCAAATGCCATTGAATGGGCATTTTAAATACTGAATCAAAGTGCCTTTCCGCACGCAAAAACTCAATCGAACTCCACTTTGTACAATAGATGAATAACGATTGAGGAATTAACGTTCATGGTATTCAAAAGCACATCTGAAAATGCCTACGAACGATAAAAAACTTTCAATGCAGATGGAAATAATTATCGGGAGTGGTTAAGGTTCATGTAAACCCACGTGAAAAAAAACGGCAAGTTCAAAAATTTTGAAAAAAATCTGGTATATCAAGGTTTTTAATTGAAAACTTCTGTGAGATTTTGATGAAAATCTATCGAACGAATTTTGAGAAAAAAAATTAAAACTCCTTTTTTTATAGGTTTTTTTTAGTTTTCACAAAAACTGTTCGATGAATTTTTGTCAAAATCTCACAGCAGTTTTTAACAAAGAATTAAAATATGCCTGATTTTTTTGAAAATTTTTGAACTTACAGTTTTCCTACAATAGTGAATTAATCATTGAAAGTTGCTGTAAAATCTATATTATTCGAAAAATATGATATATTTTGATTATTCATGTAAGATGTAACGAATACGGATTACTTGAATCCTATTTCAGTCATAAACAATGATTTATTCGATTTTAAAATAGGGTTTTCAATACCCCTTACCAAATTCCTCTCAAATAGATTAATCGCTCCAGCAGGTGCTGCCTCTGCTGGTAATAGTCATAATCTAAAGTAGTTTCGCTACTGTCCACGAGTATCGCATAAAATGTCTGACCATCATAATATTTGTCGTACAGCGTTGCCAATACGCCTAGACAAAGACAACCGATAAATGCTGATTTCTGTTTCTAGCAAATCCTTCAGAAAATCGTCTCCTTTTCGACTTGTGAATATTGAATACATTCGCGGGCCTAATGAAGGGGGGGATGGGTCGTGTTGAATTATTTCATATTCATATGAAGATTAAGTCAATTCAGTTGATTATTGTGATGAACAATGAATGCTTCGCAGATGAAATTTTTTATTAATAAAGAAAATGCTTTTCGAATTAGAAGTTTGGTTTTTCGGACATGCATCATGCACTTCATGTACCGGGAAGTGAAAATTTGACGATAGAAATATATATATCTTCATCGTCATTGTGTCATCAACTTGCTCATGGAAGTGCCCCAAATGTTAGGGGCCTCTTTAGATTTTTATTACTTACCATAATGCCCATCTATGGAGGTTTTCATGGTTATTCCTCTAGAAAACAACTAACCATTTAACTTTCATGTTTTTCAATTCTCTACGGTTATTATAAAAAAATTTCCATCTTCATGTAAGCTATCTCTATGGTAAGGATTCCTCTTGTTACTTAATTAATTTTTCTCATTGTATATAGGACTATGTAATTTCTTATTAGGCTGATGATGGACATTATGTATGCTCCCTTGATGTGATTATTCACAATGAGCATTTGGTTGAGCATTTTTCTCAAAAATATGTAATTTCTGGTTTTAAGCCTAGCAGCACCTCGATTTCCTAGAAGTGGTTTGAATTCCACGTAGGTCTCGCTCACCATAACCCCGCACAAGTTTCGACTTCTGGGGTGTTGATTCCCATCGAAGTAGCGATATACAATTTTTATAAAATTATATAAAACACTAAAAATTAACAATTAAACGGATATGTATTGAGAAGGTACAATATTTTCTGATCGATTTTCCTCGAAAATGATACATCTCTGATTGATTCGGAACAAGAGCAAATCTTGGAATGGTTTATTTTCACTGCATTGGGCATGGAAAGCTCGATGGAAAGTTTAGTTCTTGTACCGAATTGCATTATTATATCACATGGCGTTTCGGAAATATTCAAGAAATATCATATTTAGGACCCCCCTTCCAGGGGGCTGTAGCTCCCTCATATAAGAGACATTTATGTTCATCTGAACTTTTCTTCCTATTTTTGGTCGTAGAAGCCGGTGATGAACTTCGACAGGCTAATTTCGAGATGTGGGTATGTGTTTTTTCTATAGTGAGTTTTTAGTGCTGAATGTGAATGATATATCATAATGAACATCGGATTTGAAAAGGTTTGAATATTTCCAATATGTTCAATAGTCCCAAGACACTCTCGGGAATTTCCTATATTTCCATTTCCATGGCAATATTTCCAATGGAAATATTTCCACTTAAATCACCAATGATATATAATATATAGTGATGATATAAATATTTCCGAAATGAGGCGATTCTCATCAAGAACAGGAACTTTATTAAACCAGACCCCTCCTCTATTCTATAGGTATATAACTCAACTATTATAGTCTTGCGATTTTCACCAAATCCTGATCGGTATCAATAATCATCAATATGATCAGTTTTCCAGAGATGAACATTCTTTTGGACATTTGAACCTTTCAATGGGAATGAAAAGAGGTTGATATTTTATGAAATTATATTAGGATTTTTTGCAGGTAAACTAACATCATAGTATTGCTCCTCATGTTTTCTGCCTCGAAAAATACTGAGTTTGAATCAACTGCAAATTTTGAAACGTTCAATGATGATTTGAGACAAAAAACCAGGATATACTCTCATTTTTGTACTCTCTGTTTCCGAGTAAATAATTATTCACGCGCTCAAAAACCAAAAACAGTCTGTATATGTTTAGATCTGCCTGTTCCTTCGAAACCTTCCATAGAAATTATATTGAAATATTCATATGGGGGTTTGAAACCATCATTACAATGAAAATACACGGCACTGTCAAACATGATGATTGCCTCAGAAAAATTGATCATATTGATGGTTATTCAGTATAGTTATTCATACCGGTCCAAATTTGGTAAAAATCGTAAGACTAATAGCTGATATATAAAGGAGAAACCGTTTGAAGTGGGACATGCTGTATAGAATCATCTTGTTACACCTCGTTGGCTGAGTAATGTAATCAGGAATTCAGCTATATACCTAAGTATGTAATTTTCAGGGCTGATTTATGACTTTTCGCGAAAGTAAGTCGAATATAATAAAATGACTCATCTTCTGAAGCCTCATTATGATTATTTTTATACCCGTTACATAGTATGGTAAAAGGATAGGATTTTGATTCAAAGACATATGAGTTCTTAAAAAATTACTTATGTGTGCTTCTTTACATTTCTCGGGATGGAGTTGTATGGAATTGGCATACCTAAATATTCCTTTCATGTCTATAAACTATCGACTAGCTCTACTGCGTAATGATTCAAGTAAAACTGTTTCAATTTCGACATCATATTTTGTACAAAAAACCCTCAGATACAAATTTTGAATATATCATAATTACAAAATTCATCTGCCATATTGAATCCGCCATCTTGAATTTCTTTATTTTGACTAAGGAATCATAATTTCCGATGCCGAAAATCCCCTGATATAACGTTTGAATAGAATCGGATCATAATTACAAAACTCGTGTGTCACATTGGATCCGCCATCATAAATTTCCGAATTTTGATGGTAAAATCATGATTTCTGATCCAGAAAACCTCAGATATACAATATTTTTGAATTGGATCTTAATTACAAAACTCGTCAGCCATATTGGTTCCACCATCTTGAATTTCCAAATTTTGATGACACAATCCTAATCTCCGACCTCGAAAACCCCCAGATACCAATTATGAATACAGTCGGACCATAATTACAAAACTCGTCTGCCATATTGGCTCCGCCATCTTGTATTCTCAAATTCTGACAGAAAAATCATAATCTCCGTCGATTCCCGAAAACCCCTAGATACCTATACCAGTTTTGAATAGAATCTGATCATATTTATTACAAAATACACTAGTGTATAATCAGTCGTGACTTCGGCGACAGGTCGGAACGGGTTCGGACGGACGGATCGGGACGGAAATTCAATGTTTTTTGGTTTTTCCTCACCCAACAAAGTGCTGAACGCGCCTAAAGTTTTCACTTGAAAAATTACAATAATGTCATCAAGAATGTATTCCCCCAGAAATACATCGGAAGGCAATTTTGGACCACCGTGTATATTATAAATATCATTATCATTCCATACCAATTCCATATATTCCATTCATATACAAACAAATAAGTATATGAGCCACACTAGTGTTTCTCCATTCACCCCTGTAGCGAACGTTATCACTGAAATATGAACGATTCATAATAATAATTAACCCTCGTAAAATCTCCTAAATACCCGATACCCGAAACAGAAGAGGCGGCCGACGCCGACGCTCATTTGCGCATCGCTTCGAACCTCAAAGTCAAAGCTTCCGCCTAGCTGCCTTGCGCCCGAGAAAATGACCTTGAAGGCGATTGCCGATCTTTTCATCTATGCGTTCGCGCTATGACAACACATCGTCTCACTATGTATAGAAATTGTTATTATATTTATTGTGTGTTTATGTGTCGCCTTTTTTAATTGCATCGAATCCTCACGAAATATACATGTATATTCTCATAGATGCTAATATAAAATTCAATTCTACTCCTTCACCCACCGGAGACAATAAAGATCAGATAATTATAATGTCGCGCAATATCAGTATATACCATGCAATTTGCAAAAAAATATCGCAAGTCTAAGACCTATTACCAGCTATGGCAACAATGGTATGTATTTTACAGAGACAACGAAGGAATCTGCATATTTCGGAAGGGTTCTGCAAAATTTTTACCCTATGAAACACGAAAGTAGGGCAATTATGGTTGCATACATCAAGTAACACCTGGAGCACTAGCGACATCTGACAGATCAGAAACGCGAAATTTGTCGCTTTACATGTACCTTAAGGTGTAACAGGAATCAAAAGAGACACACTCACCCTGCGACGACATATTATTGGAAGGTCCTGGTCTTTGATGATAAATGCCGTTCACTGGGTGCGCCGTATTCTGCAATCAGAAGAGTAAACTTAGTCTATTTTTATTTTTTACGATGAAGGTGTCGACCATATTCCACAAATCAGAATAGATGGTCATTCACGACAAGCTTTAGTTGACAATAAGTCACACTCTCCGTTACCCCAGCATCGCCAACTTTCTTATTTCAGAAGGAAAAGTCTTTATACATGTTTGAATCGTCCATTTGTCTTCATACATGTTCAAATCGTCCACTTCAAGACCATTTTATAACAGAGGTACCGAGTTCAAGTAGGAAACTCTACATCAAATTTCATGAAAGAAATTCACACGATGAAATAGTTATTTGTTATACTTGGCAGGAAAGCACAAGATTTAATGCCGCGGCTGATAGTTCATAGCCGAGCGTAGCGAAGCCAGGAGTTCAGCCAAGGCATTAAATCTGCTTTTTTGCCATGTGATATGAAAATTTTCTCCAAATTCGACCAATTTCACGCAAACTCCAAATGATCCATCATTTTGTGTTCACCCAGAGTCATTGTCAATTTTGAATACCAATTTGATTCGAATTATTTCTTGGAACGTTGCATAGCAACAAACTTTTCCTGCCTATGGGGAATACTTTTCTGCCAAGGCAGAGAAAGTACAACTTTCGTGCCGGTCAAGTGTCATTAAAAAGCCACTTACTATGTCATTTTGAGAAAAACATACTTTTTCTGAACTTTTACGAAACGGAAACGACACAGGTCGCTAACGTTTTTTTATACATGGCCTGTCTGAAGCTCGTTCCCCCTACTAATTTTTGAACCACCTGGTATATCGCAACGAAATTTTGAGGGCTCAAATAAGAGATGAATTCCTATTTTTTCATGAAAAAAACGACGGATTAAGGTTTGCAAATGACGGTAACATTCGAGTTTTTGATTGGGTTTGAAATGACGAAAATGTCAACGTTAATATTTCGAAAAATATTAAATCTTGGAGTAATGTGTATTGGATAAAACTGTAAAGGATTCAGAAGAATTCGAAAATTGAATGATTCCAACCGAAAAAATCATTCAAGATGGCGCTCAACAGCAATTTTGAAACTTTGAGCTGCTATTTTTCGATAAAAACGTAGGTTTTCATCTCTACTCGTGGCCTTCCAGATTTCGTTGCGATATACCACGTGATTCTAAAATTAGTTGGTGGGGAAACAGACTTTAGTTAGGCAAGTAGTGAAAGCAATACATTCTCGGACGTCATGTAAAGTTTGGAAATGTTAGATACAAAAATAATTCATATATGAAATATTTTTTGATTGATTGCATACGATAGAAACAAAAACATGTGTTTCGTAGTAATGAGCATTTTTTTATTTATAGTGTGTAATAGTGTGAAATGATATAGGGTGAACCTTTGAAAAAATTTAGCTACGGGCATTTGAAATTCCAGAAAGTTGAAGTGTTATTCTGACCACCCTATACGGGTTTTTCACGTAAGCGTTAATTAGACGTTTCTGGCAAACCAAGCAACATATGAATCTGGAAATTGGATGATATATATAAATTGACATGATCTACAGGTCTAAAATATTTTAATCGATGCGGTTGTGCCGCTTCTACTATAGAAAGTATAATCAACTTTGATATTTCATATGGAACACCCTGTATTCCATGTGAAATAATTTTTCAGATTTTTTTTTTCTGCTACATAAAAATATACAAGTTGCTCGGAACATACTATCGACAGAGTATTAGCTGATTTTTTCAAATGGGACACCCTGTATTTCAATGCATTTTTAGTTTTTCTCTGAAGAGCTGATTTTATAAATGTATCACACTTGGGGTATAGCGGGAATGATTACAGAATATAGGGTGTTCAAAATCAAGTTATTCCGTCTTTAGGATTTTTTCTTGTCGAAACTATTCATTGGTCAAAACGACTTACATCTTCACTTTTGATTAACTATCTACTGACGTTCAATTAGAACAAATACAGGGTAGTTCAAGATTCAGAATTCTGATCACCATGTATCTGTTCCAATTAAATACCATTTGGAAAATCAAAGTTTCTGCTAATTTTCAGATTCATCTGTTGCTTGGTTTGCCAGAGACGTCTTAATAACACTCATCGTGAAAAACCCTGTATACTATGTGTAAAGGATGAGAGTTTCATTCAAAAGAACATGGTATTGACTATTGATCAAAACCAATGTTCGAATGAATTCTCGAAATTGTAAGTAGTTACTTTTGTTCAAAGATGCCTGCATTTCCGGAAAAACTTGAAATATATAGGGTGCCCTATTTGAAAAAACATAAGTTTGATATTGATTGATATTTCTTTGAGACACACTGTTTAAATGGAAATAATATTAAAACATACATCTCTTGGACCTACAACTTCTGTGAAACAATTTTCCTCCATCAGTCAATCTACTTTGCTGGCATGTGAAACATATACTTTTTTCTCCAGATGTTATGGAACCAATTTTGTGTAATTTTTTTATTGAAAACTCCATCATTTTGTGTTCACTTAATGTCAGTATCAATTTTGATTACCAATCAATCGTTCCAGAATTACGTCATTTGACAGGTTGCTGAGGGGCAAACATTGTATTTTGTCAAAATGTGTCATATGAAAACAGAATTAGTGAGATCGTTTTCATTGGAATCCGAGTTGGAACCCGAAAGAATTTCATAATTTTGTTTGGTGAAACTGTTATTATTATATTATTATATTGTGGATGTGGCAGGGATGGCCAGGGCTATGCTCATCAAAGGTAACCTAACAGATAGTTTGTGTGCCCCTCAAGAAACCATGTCAAAATCACGTGTTCTAGAATGGTCAATTTCATTCAAATTACTTAGAACGTTGCATAGCAACAAACTTTTTTGTCTAGGCAGAGAAAGTACACCTCTGCTGCCTCTTAAGTGTCCTAGAGAAGCTAATTTATATGCGGTTTGAAGAAAAAATATATTTTTAGTAATATATCTTTTTGGCATTTTTCTTAACCATAACATGATTGTGACCAATAGGGATTATTCAGTGCAATAATAGGATTATTCAGTGCAATATTTATTCTTCTTCTTCTTCTGGGTTTTTGTATCATGGTCATATATGCTATGTCCATGCAGAATTTTTCCATTGCATTTTTGTAATGAATTTTTGATTTTGCATGCTTACTCAACTTTTTCGTATTACGGTATTTTCTTTCTTTCACCGAGATACTCTTTAATTACTTTGCTCAGTTATCAAGTTCTGTCAGTCATTCAGAATTATAAATCAGAATATAGACAACATTGCCTATTTCATACCCGTGAGAAGTTATAATTTATTCATAACCTAAACAACCTCAACCTTTTGACGAAGTAGACTACTGACAGAACTACTATATAGAGCGCTATACCGTGCTTTCATTGAAAAACACTACATAGGCAAAGTATTCGGTAGTGCTCGGGACTAGCAGCTACGTAGGAATGGGGGATTAGCGTTGAGGGATCACTGGCCGGCTGCTTTCGCTTTACTAAACGGCTTGGATCGCTTTGTCCCTCCCATTAAAGATCTATATCGCAGGAGTTATGTCCTATGTAAAGTGTAGAAACACAGTGGAAGCAGACTTTCCGCTTACCGACAGCCGGCGCCGATAGGCGCCGTTTTCTCGCGCTTAGAGTGGACAGAGTAAAAGCGAGTAATAGCAGGCTGAAACTGGTAGTTCTTTTGAATACTGCAGCAATTAATACTTCAATATCCATTTTCTTCTCTTTTCAAAACACAACCAGCGTGTACAACCAGCTAGAAAGAACTGCATTTTGATTCCGACAAAAAAGTCGGCGCCGGTCACCGGCGCCGACAAGCTTCAACCTGCTTGCACTGTGTTACCACCTATTTGAAAATATATATTAGTTTCTAAAGCTTACCAGCACCGATATGCGCCGGCCACCGGAAAGCAGGTAACCTGCTTCCACTGTGTTTCTACACTTAAGGAACTAAAAGTGGAAGCACTGTATATCATATCCTAGCAACCCGAAAATCTCACAAACTGCTCGCCTGAAAAACTTTTCTGCTCAATGCGCAGGAACTCCCAAACTTTCGTTCATGACATCGAGTAATGTCTCTTGGTGTTCGGAATCATAAGCAAGAGTGAGTGAGATATATGAGCACGCTCTATTAAATCTGAGTTTGATTTCGTTAATGTATGAGCTCTGATCTTATCGCTCTATCAAATCTGAGTTTGATTTCGTTAATGTATGAGCTCTGATCTTATGGCATCAGCGGTCTAGTTTGTAATTTACGTCGGTAGAATAGACGGACTAAGATGGATACTTAGCATCTATACCTTTTCAACTTCAATTTCGGAAAAAGTAATCTCGATTTCAGAATTGGTTAGTTCGATTTCAGAAATGGTAAACTCAATTTCAGAATCGGTGAGATGAATTTCAGAAAAAGTCCATTCAATTTCAGAAATGGTAAGTTGTATTTCAGAATTGGTAGGTTCAATTTCAGAAAAAAGTCCTTATATTTGTTCGAAATGTTTCCAATTGTATGTGAGATTAACAAACCATATTTTCAATATTCAACTTGTCAAAAACAATTCAATAACATAATTATAATCTCAATTTAATCCACAGATGCCTTCCATCCGAATCGCTGGAAGATAATAGCATTGCACATGATTATGAGAATGCAAACACATTTGAGGTGTTATCATTTTCATTGAATAATCTGCACATTCCTCAAGACATCGCAGTCTGAATTCTATCTGGTTGAGCAAGCTGTTCGGATCCCCAGCTATGACCCTTTGGCGATGCTCTTGCAAGAAGCTCTTCACTATATACTGACTTGAAGGCACCCCATATAATTATGTTCAATCTGATTCAACATAGGGCTCTCAAACACCGTTCATCCACTGTAAACACTCTTCTCTTTTGCAATTAAAAACATTTCAAACATATAAAAGGATTTCATCTTCTGAAATTGAACCTACCAATAATGATTCTGAAATACAACTTACCATTTCTGAAATTGAATGGACTTTTTTGAAATTCATCTCACCGATTCTGAAATTGAGTTTACCATTTCTGAAATCGAACCAACCAATTCTGAAATCGAGATTACTTTTTCCGAAATATAACTCACCGATTCCGAAATTGAAGTTGAAAAGATATAGATCATAGATACAGAAGTTCAGTTTCATCACGTTCAGTTTCACTTCCCTTCAATCAGTTTGATCGCATGGTTCAAGACGAAAGAATAAGACTATTATTGTTGGACAAATGGACGATAATTTGATTGATCTGATTTCGATAATCACTCACCTTGGCTATTTGTAAAAGAACTATGGAGTGTTTGATGTTATCCAGCATAATCTGCAACAGGAAATCAGCTTTATTCATTATAAACATAAATATTCCATGATGACACATGCAGAATTCTGCAAACATGCTCGCCTGTCGACTTTGCAGTTTTATGAAAACCATTCAATCAATCAACTTTATTTGTCCCAAGAAACAACATTTGTTTATGGCAGGAAACAAACAGAATACACAAATATATTCAACATGATGAAGAAGACAGTAAATTAAAAACTCACACTCTAAGAAATCTCATTTTTCAGTTCATATAAAAATAATTCTTAATTGACTCGGCCGTTCGGTAATCTTTCATCTCGGCTTTTATTGGTAGAAACAAGACTAAATGTACAAAATCGTGACAAAATTTTATGGATTTCTACCAAAGGGCAGAGTTAGTTTTTGTCTGATTACTAAAGGAACAGACAAGTGCTTTCTTCCACTCCACCTTATCTAGGAAATAACAAAAATTAAAGAAAAAAGAGAAAACAAAATACAGGAAAATTCATTGAACTTATATCTAGCGAAATATTCACGCTCTATATAACTACAGCCAAGATTAACAAGTGATTTTGGACTTGTTACAACTGCAATTCACAAGTTGAAAGCAGTTTTTTCATACGACTTCTAAAACCCATGATATTCATTTCCTTCAGAGATTCCGAAATCCAGTTGTACAGCTTTGAAATCGAGTAAGAAACAGAGGATCGATATTGACTAGTGATGTGAATAGGTGGAGTCAGCCGAGATTTAAAACGGACATTGATGTTATGGATATCAGTGCGAAAGGTGATCTTCCGGAAAAGATATGGTGGTTTTTGAGTCGTGACTACCTTATGATATAGAGTACAGGCACAGATTAACAAACATTTTTGTTAATCAGTGTTACAGGCAGGCATCCTCTCAATATTCACTAATTCATCGAATATCAACTTGTCTGTTGACGTTCGATGACTAAGTGGACTAGATATATATGATCTTTCCTGCCTAGCCCACAAATTAGACGAACACAAGAATTCTGAACAAGTTGTAGGCGTTGCGCATCACTCTCTGAAATAGCAGGTCCATAAATGATGTCATCATAATTGAGATGTGAAAGAACTGAGGATTCACATAATGTTATTTTACTCCGCTTATCGAGAATTTTCCTGTTGGCATTAATCAATTTCAGGTTGCAGAACGCCCGTCTTATAATCGAATTATTATTGTAAAAATCGGACAATCGACAAAATGATGTTTTTTTATCAAGAACCAATAGAATGGATGACATTATCAATAGAAAAACTAAACGGGAGAGACCAAATTTTAAGATGATAGTCTTACGTTAGCGTGGTCCAAAATCAGCTGGCACTTTACTTTTTCCTCGGAGTCAGCCATTGTTGTAATTTTTTCTTCTAATTTCTGAAACCAATATACAGAGTATTTTGAAATATCACTAGACTCAAGAGAATGTTGTACCTACTCATCAAAATAAGAACACATAGCCATTAGCTCGTTAATTATGTAATAACGAAAATGGGAGGATGAGAACATAAAGTAGGTATTCAAATAATATCTGTAGGTTAATCGAGGAGGTGGAATATTCATTTTTGTACTCAATAACTAGAATGGTATTCAGGGTACGGATATGTACCAAGCGAAATGATCGATTTATCACGGATTGTTGATCTGTGATTTTTTCAAAATATTAAACACGTTACCATGGCAACACAATTTTTTGAAATTGAAATTGAAATTTATTGAATTGAAATTGGGGTGTTCCTAAACATCATGTACATCCGAAAGGAGGTAATTCCTCAGACCATTTTAAGACTAAAAGTTCATATAAACTCAGGTCCGAAAACGCTTCGTTACCGATCTACGGGGTGTTGAAATTTCAATTTTTTTTTTGGTTTTTCTTTATAGATTCTGCAGTTTTTGAGATATGTGGCTCAAATTTGAAACATAAATTACGTTATGGGGCTTACATCGATGGACAACTCAAATGTTTGTGAGAATCTACAGGGTGATATTTTTTTATGGGTCATGCCCCCTTTTCTCCCCCTGAACTTTTTTGCGGTGCGCTGTTGGTAAATTCTAAGGTACAAATTGAATTTTTTGGTTTGTTTACAAACTTTTTTGTATCCTGTAGTTTTTTCGTATCTAAGACCGTTATCGAGAAAAAAAAAATTGAAATTTTTTTGTAATTCGCTAAAATTATTTTGTTCGCCGCTGTTTGCTAAAGGCTTTTTTTTGCAATAACGATTTATTATACAAAACATCCAAATAAAAGACATAACAAGGAAATAACGTTATAACAATTGTTGAAAGTGACCTCCTCCAATCCTTATACATGCGTCCGCTCTTCTTCTCATTGATGCCCGTACTCTGCCAAACACCCCCGGAGTATTTCTTACAGTTTCAAATGCATTTAATATTCGATTTCGTAAGTCATCGATGGTATTTATTGGTGTTGTATACACGAGAGATTTGAGATGCCCCCATAGAAAAAAATCTAGGCTATTTAAATCAGGGGACCTAGGGGGCCATAACTGAGGTCCACCCCGTCCTATCCACTTGTCCCCAAACACTTCATTTAAATATTGCCGAGCCAAAACAGAAAAATGTGCTGGTGCGCCATCGTGCATATACCACATTTGATGTCTGAGCAAAAGAGGTAAGCCTTCAAGTAATAAAGGTAATTCGTATTGCAAAAAATGCCTGTATGAGTTTCCAGTAAGCCGACCAGGCAAAAAGAAAGGACCAATCAAATGATCCCCAACTATACCACCCCATACATTCAATGAGAACTGCTCTTGAAAATGAGTTTCGACAATTCCATGTGGATTTTCTTCGGCCCATATGTGGTTGTTATGAAAATTTATAATTTGATTCCTGGAAAAATTGGCTTCGTCTGTAAAAAGGATTTTACAGTCAAAATTGGGGTTTACTGCTATCCTATTAAGGTACCACTGGCAGAAATTAACTCTTGAAGGGAAATCTCGAGGAAGGAGCGCTTGCACCCTTTGAATGTGATATGGATATAGTAGAGATTCACGCAATATACGCCAAACAACTTGGTGACTGATATTTAAATTTTTAGCGATTTTTCTGGTGCTAGTGTCTGGCTGTTCTTCTATTTCATGTAGAACAGCTTCTTCGATCTGTGGTGTTCTAACGGTACGTGGTTTACCTCCATCATTAGTGTTTTTATTAAATGTTCCAGTTTCTGCAAGACGCCTATGAATATCTGAGAATATTCGTTGATCAGGTATTATTCTATTGGGATAACGCTCCATGTATAGACGTCTGGCTTCTCTTGCATTTCCATTCGCAAGGCCATAAATAAAATGCATATCAGCCATATCGCCATTTGAATAATTTGGCATTGTTACGAGGCTATAACGAGTATTTATAACAAATTTACACCTTACAATTAACAATTTAAACACATGTAAAGACACCTAACGACTCCACATACGAACTGTCAAAAAACGCTCGCTCTCCACTGCATTTGTTTGAAAACAAATCTATTCTTTCATGATGGAAAGTATAGACAATACACTCATAGCCATCTGAGAATCTGCGTTGGAGCTAAGCTTATCGTTGGTCGGTTTAAATCCAGGTCCCGGGAACAGATCCCGGCATCGGATTTTTTTAAAGCAATGATTTCACTTTTTTCTTCTGTTTGAGATTTGAATTATTGGATACTTGGATAGCTTATACATTACGAATTTCTACTGAGTATTCATTTTCTCATACTATTATAATATTATGTGCCTATTTGAATGAAGTGTCGATCTTTTTTTGTCTGAAAGATGCGTTTGTAGAAAAAATAATGTGTGTATTTCAAGCACAAAGTGTCATTGTTGCTCTCCAAAGATTACCGCGCTCCGCTTCGCGTTGCACGGTAACTCTCTTTGTCGAGCGACAATCAATTACTTTGCGCTCGAAATACACAAATTGCTATTTCCATTTTTTCTCGACAACGGTTTTAGATACGGAAAAACTACAAGACACAAAAAAGTTTGTAAATGAATGAAAAAATTCATTTTGTATATTATAATTTATCAACGGCGCACCGCAAAAAAGTTCAGGGGGAGAAAAGGGGGCATGACCCAAAAAAAATTATCACCCTATAGATTCTCACAAACATTTGAGATGTCCATCGATGTAAACCCTATAACATAATCTATATTTCAAATTTGAGCCACATATCTCAAAAACTGCAGGATCTATAAAGAAAAAACAAAAAAAATCTTGAAATTTCAACACCCCGTAGATCGGTAACAAAGCGTTTGCGGACCAATGTTTATATGAACTTTTAGTCTTAAAATGAGCTGAGGAATTACCCCCTTTCGGATGTACATGATGTTTAGGAACACCCGTATTAGTTAAATATTATTATTATTATTAATTTCTTCCATATCCTAGACGCATGACCTAAGTGCATGAGGCACTTGCTTTGTTCTGCATCTAGGATTGTCGGAATGGTATTGTGTGCCTACATGGTGTGAGTGGACATGAAAATTCGTATCTATCATACCATTGTACAGTCTTGTACTAGTTCACATTATTATTGAACCCTCACAAGATCCTGGAGGCTAACCTAAATGCTTGAAGCATTTGTTTTGTTCTGTCTTCAGGATTGTCAGGATTGCTGTAGTACTAAGTGTGGTTTGAGAAAAGATATTTATAATAATAAGTGTAGGTCGGGAGTTAGAGGTTGAGAGCTGGATGGGTTATTTTTTTTTTTTCAAAATATTTTTATTAATGTAGTGTAATTTGTGGTAGGTAATGTAGTTTTTTATTTCATATTTGAATTGACTAAGTGATTTTTTTTCTTTTATGTTCCTAGGCAGTAAGTTATATAATTTGGGACCGAAGTAGATAAGTGTTCTTTGTGTATGTGATTTTTTGAAGATAGGGAGAGGCATATTTAGATTTTCTGTTGATCTGGTGTTTTGTAGTCTATACGGGATATCTGTAAGTTTGTTTTTATAGACCCATATTAGGCTGTTGTAGATGAATAAGCTTCTTACATTGAAAAGTTTCGTTTCTTTGTACAGTTGTTCAGTGGAGAACCGTTTTTTCTTATGAAAAATTATTTTTATAATTGTATTTTGCATTGCTTGAAGACTTTTGAGGTTGTTATCGAAGAGTCCACCCCATACAGTAATGCCATATCTAATGATCGATTCTGCCAGAGAATTATAGATTATTATAAGATTGTTTCGGGTAAGTATTTCTCTCAGATTGTATAGTTTATAAGTGAGTTGTCTTAAGCGTTTGATGACATGACCAACGTGTTCATCCCATCTCATATGTTGGTCAAGTATAATTCCAAGGTATTTTAGTTTTGACTCCTTTTCTATGGTTGGAATTTTCAGTGTTTCCTCATTTGGTTGATCGTTACTTAACAGTGTGAAACATACAAATTTTGTTTTGAGAATATTTAGGCTTAGTAGATTATAATTTAGCCATATTTGGATATCTTTTAAACCAATTTCAGCAGTTTGGTATGACATTTGATGGATTACCTTGCGGTCTTATTTTGACAAGTATCCATAAACCATTGTTGAATCTGTTTGCTATCAACCCTTTCAAGATAATCCGGTACACTGTATTTTGATGTAGATATTGTGCCTATTTTCCGAAAATGAAGGTTTATCGAACCTGTCCACAGGTAATCCTTCAGGTTGGGAAAGTAGGATGTATAAAAGTTAAGGCGGCTACTCACACACCTGCCGCAGGGGCAATCTAGGGTGTGAAAGTGGGGTTGACCCTAAATTGCCTCCTAGATTGTGACGTGTGTAGGCAAGCAGGGCCAATTTCCTAGATCGCCTCCTTTGCAGGGCGGCAGGCGCGCCAGACCTTCCTAGCTTCCTAGATCGGCTCCAACCGCCCTGCTACAACTTGCGTGTGTAGCGTGATTGGGCCAATTTCGACTCAGTTCTGAAGAGAAAGCCGTGCGGAGTGTTCGTTTTTATTGTCTAGCTTGCTGAGGTGGATCGAATATGGAAATCGAGAACAACCAAGAGCGAGAAGATTGGACGCGGGTTATAGAAGTCTTTAAAGACCGGCCCCACATGTGGTTCTCTAGCACTGATGGCCTTCCGCATTAATGTATCTTTTTTTCTATTAATGGTGTCCCCATGCCAAGGATGTCTTCAAAACATTCTAAATCCATTCGTAAAAAGTTTTTAAGATCATCAACTTCCAATTCTTGCATAACGTTCATGTGACACAATTCTTTTCGTTTCTGTAACCAATCCTTCATCCAGTACTTCCTTTTTCTTTTTTTCTTCTGTGGCATCACGGAAACAGCCAGGGCAATGCCAATCTTTTGATTTTTTGAAAGTGTTGGCACCATCTTCACGACTCAGTGATAGTCTGTTCTGCGGTACGTTCACTGCCGCACTGAACGGCAGGTACGTGTGTAGAGACGCTTCCTAGATTGCCCCAATCACGCTGCACCCTAGATTGCCCCTGCGGCAGGTGTGTGAGTAGCCGCTTTTAGGCCAGCCAAGGTTAGTTTAGTTCGTTGTACCAGTATTTCACCTGATGAAGCTACTGTGTTAGCGAAACATGTCGTGTGATGGATTTCCAACAAGTAACAGCCAAATCAATTCAAAATTTGAAGGATATTCACTTATTTGTTCCCGTTCGCAACCACAATACATATATTTTTGTTGCGGATGAATAAAAATAAATAAATCGCTTTCCTCGAAAACGAATCATTGTATCGATAATAATCAGAAGTACTCGTTTTTAAAAGTTCAAGACAACAAGATTTCTTTTTAGTCCTTTACCATATACATGTTATTGACAATTTGAGTATCAGAGAAATAACTCAGTCCAACCCTGGTAAACTCAAGAAAGCTGAATATGTTCCACTATTTTGAGGGGTCTCTACCTATGTCCCGATTTTTTTTTATTTTGATGAGTATGTACATAGGCGTTAATAAACTATATTTGAAACAAAAGTATTATTCTAAGTGGCTCACCTTGGTTTGGTCTATCATAATTTGAAGATATGCATCAGCTTCAGATACTCGGATGTCCAAATCCTTTATTGTAGGCGACGGTTGCTGAGTATCCCACCTCATCTGAAAAGATGAACGAATGTCCAAAAGAGCAGTCCAGCTAGCGTTGACAGAGATTGAAAAAAATGGCTTCCCCATCTGTCCTTGTCTTCAGTGCTCCAACATAAAATAATGAACATTTTATGTTGGCAACACTGGAAATGAGAAGAAATGGAGAAGAAGACAATTTTCACTTTTTTGTATTGAGGTGTAGGTGGCCAGGTAGCCGTGCGGACAGAGTGTCTATATTCTAATTCGCATTCGCTTGCCGGTCGTGGGTTCGATCCCCGTCGACTGCAGAAATTTTTCTGATGGCCCAAGAAAGTGTTTGGGATCACACGTTAAAAGGTAAGGCCCCCGTCATTCCTTGCTCGCACAAGACTTTCGAAGACTTTTGAGGGTTGCTCGTAAGGGGGCAACCGAATGACGGATAGAACAAATTTTAGAACAAATTTTTTAGATAATGATGGAAGTAAGATATGGTGTAATTACTAATGCGCTTTTGTTTCAGAAATTTTACTCGACCTCTCGAGAACAGCGAGAGCAATGGTTTCGTCGATCTTCTAATAGATTGCGACATTGCACAATAATAACATCTGTCAGTTTTGAAATTGCAGATTTTTCGAATTGAGAGTTGAATAATCCCACTGTTACATACATGTTACATATGTTCCGCGTACCTAAAATGCCGTTTGCCATTTCATTTCCACTCGTCTCAGCAGCAATAGAAGCATCACCATCTAGCGGGAAAATTTAGAATTAACGTCTCGCTTGTTGTGACGTAGAGAAATCATAGTAGGGGGTCCAGTGATTTTTCTGAAATTTTCAATACGTAATAATGGCCGAATGCGCGCACTGTATCTTATTTCCATCATTATTGAGATAGTCAATTGCTTTTTCACGAAAAATATGGGTTTTGAGGAACTATATCTTCAATCCTGATTTCATACGACTAACATTACTGGATGACGCCCTAGCTAGATAATGGTATCGTTGTCACCCGGTATTGTTCAAATGAAACAAACAAGCATAAAAATTAATTAATTCTTGACTGAACCACGAAAATTCCCATCCATACGAAAGACAACTAGAATTAATCGTTTCACTGTTTTTAATTTTATTTAGGCCAGCGTAGCCTCGTGGTTAGAGCGTCAATGTTCTATCCACGTTGGATTACCGGTAGTGGGTTCGATTCACACCACGACCGCAGAAATTTTTCTGATGGCCTAAGAAAGTGTTTGGGATCACACGTTAAAAGGTAAGACCCCCGTCATTCCTTGCTTGCACAAGTCTCTTGAAGACTTCTGAGGGTTGCTCGTAAGGGGGCAGCCAAATGATGGATAAGAACAAAACAATGGATAAGAACAATATTTCGCTAAAAGGGGTATAGTCGATCCAAGGTCAATTAAAGCACCTCCAGAAAAAAACATATAGGTACGCAGGGCCTTTTCGCTTCTTTTGAAGTTAGTTTGGAGTCCGTGCAGACATTCACAGATTGGGTTTTTTCGATTCAAACTTTTTCCACGCCCTGTATGATGAACATCAATTCATTATACAACTGACAAACGCTCCAACTGACTTTGGATAGACTATACCTATACTCAGATTCTATTACCATAATTCTGTACATTTTCTGAAACGTGCTTACCAAACTGTCAATCATCGATACCCGTGGGACCTTATAGTTGATTATTTCCCTCATATAATTCCCACCTGTAGATGATATCACGTGAATTTTGTTTATCAGCTAAGTAATTACAACAGATTCATACTGACATGCAAGCCAGCATTTGCTGGTAACTAACAGAAAGTCTAGCCTAGCCTAACTTTCAAATGCACATAATTGATTTAATTCATTGTGTATTGCATAAAAACACAATAAAACATCACAAATTCATAGGACAATGTATACTTATTTACTTTCCGATGATCACGAATAAGCTACCCAACAGAAGTTGAGCATGCAATTACCGCATCAAAGAACAAAAAAACAAAACAAGTTGTTTACAGAAAAGATATTGTCAATTTGTAATCTCCCTAGCTGCACAATTATTACCGATAATTTTTTTCAAGGCCACGAATGCTTTTGTCGATGGAAAATTATCCCGAGTAGAAGACGAGGGAGATTTTCTATCAACAAAAACTTGAATGATATCGAGAAGAAAATTATCGTGAATTAATTCTGCTGGGAGATTCGGTAAGGAAACTTCATAAATTGAAGTTGCTCTCAATATGATCAAAAGAACCGTACGACCTATTCTGCGTAGATATCAAATAATATTTGACACTCGTTTTTATTACTGAAATGTGAGAAACATTGAATAACACATTCGTTATCTGAAATCCAATGTCTTCATAATCATAAATTCATATAAAACTTGAAAATTAGTATATTGTTTAACAAGCACGGAATGATACTGCTTTTCCATGAGAATGAAGTATGCAAGGCGAATGCTGCAATCATTCGAGTGGGAAATTAGCATTCCTTGCGGGTTATACACTATAATTTTTCTGCAACCGACACAAAAGTCGTCCATTTTGATACCAAAATTAGCTCTTAAATTGACGTTTCTATTACTGACACAAAAATAGGTATGTTGCTAGGCAACCTATTTAGTTCCTAGGAGCTAAAGTTGAATTTTAGTTCCGTTCCTAGGAGCTAAAGTTGAATTTTAGCTCCTAGGAACTAAAAAGGATGTACTGGATGTCATCAAGAATAAACAACATTGTGACGGTTAGTTATTTGGGTTGAGACGCATACCTGATTTGTTTCCGATTTCAGCAGATTTGGCATTTCATACCCATGCTGGAGATATTAATACAGGGATGGATAACTTGTTTTTGAATAATTATGGCAAGCAATAGTTTTTTGTCTCAAACAACGATATTGTTTAGCTTCATTTGATTATCAAGTCAAACACAGTGTAGTATGGAGAGGAATAAATAATCACTATCATCATTGTTGATATGCTCACTAACCTAACATTTTCCACGTCTTGTTCCTATAGCTGGCACTGGCGCGGTATTTGCCATTAGAGCACCTGGTCCATACACAAATATGTCACTCTGTGGTTGTATTTATATTGAAACTACAATTCGAAAATCCTTGAAAACCTAACCTGCTGTTAATGCAGGTAGAATATTCTTACCACATGGATTATTTGTCAATATTTGTTGCATTGCATACATATGGCACAGCATTGGTGGTTACTTCACATGGTTATTTGAGTTAATTGTTTCGGTTGCAGAAAAAAAAGCATGTTTTATTCGGATCAAAAGTGACTCTGTTCGACTCGCAAATTTTGCTTTCGCTCGGCTTCGCTAAACGCTCCGCCTCGCAAATGAAAAATTTGCTTGTCAAACAAAGTGTCACTTTTGATCCTAATAAAACAATCTACTATTTTCTATGGTTGTACCAGATCACAGCGCCTCCAAAGGAACAGACCTAACGATTTTGACCTATTTCGTGGATCTGTGGCTAACGAACAATACATTTCTATTCTTTATCTTACAGTAGTTGTTCTCCGAGTTGTTCTCCCTGTATTTGAACTCGGTTGGAACCCTCATCTATATTATAAGACGAAAGATCTCGATTATTTTGACGGCAGATTGACCCCAGAATTATATTCAGGCATGGTTAACGGAACTGATGAAGTAACTACAAACGATGTTCCATTTTTGAAGAAATAGCATTTGGGAACAAACTTTCTCAATGATTTATGGACTGGATTTTAATGTTAATCCTCAACATCTGCCGCCCTTCAGCCAACAACCACTGGTCTTATCGTTCGAGAAGCTGTACTCTGGTACGACCAAATCGGTGGGAGCCGGGCCATTCCTTGCTCTTCCAGAAGCATCAGAGTGGGACCCATGGCAGGGGAAATAGTACCCGCCCGGTCCGGAGTCCCCAGAGTTTGGTATAGGCACACAGCCGAGATGAGTACAGACCCCGAGAACGACGAGAAAATCTGGATTCTTGGTACGATGGGAGTCGTCTTCGGGATCTCTGAGCGTCTCTAAAGGAACAGACCTATAACGATTCTGTCCTCTTTCGTGGATCTATTTCTATTCTTTATCTTACAGTTGTTCTCCCTGTATTCAAACTCGTTTGGAACTCTCATATCCATTGAAGACGAGACACCTAGACTATTTTGAAGGCAGATCGTCCCAGCATTATATTTAAGCGAGGTGAACGGACCTGATGAAGTAACTTTAATGAGTCAGCGCATGGAGACGATAAACATCTCATGATTTTGATCAATATTGATCTAGAGTTGCAAGACCTTTTTCGAATTGTATTGATCAAACGTTCGTGAAAAAAAAATCATTTGGGAACAAACTTCCTCAATGATTTATGAACTAGATTCTAGTGTTTATCTCCAACAACTATATCACCATTCACCCAACAACCACTGTCTTATCGTTCAAATTGGTGGGAGCCGGGCCTTTCCTTGCTCTTCCAGAAGCATCAACATGGGACCCATGACAGGGGCAATAGTACCCGCCCGGTCCGAAGTCCCCAGAGTTTGCTATAGGCACACAGCCGAGATGAGTGGAGACCCCGAGAACGACGAGAAAATCTGGATTTTTTGGTACGATGGGAGTCGTCTACGGGATCTCTGAGCGTCTCTAAAGGAACAGACTTATAACGATTCTGTCATTTTTCGTGGATCTATTTCTATTTTTCAACTTACAGTTGTTCTCCCTGTTTTTAAACTCGTTTGGAACTCTCATATCTACAGGGTGTCCCAGAACATTTTTTCGTATCTACGCTATTATCACCCAAAATCTCCCTGTCAAGTTGAAAATGGGTCATCCTGTATGATGAAAAGGTTATTGAATAATTAACATGAATACGTGACCAAAATATCAACATGAAGGAGGAAGAAACCTGCAGAACACAATAACTCTGAAATCTTGGACTATGGATGATATGGAGGGACTCCGAAAGAATTTTTTCAGATATCTCGTAAACCAAGCAAAATTTAGAAAGAAATGTGGTGAGAAAAAAGATAGATAATTGA